CAAAATTTCTTACAGTTTACTGTTCTACAGGTGTAGAAAAGTTCGACAACCTTGACTTTGCATCTCATCTCAATCATTTCTGAAACGAATGGCCTCCAATAATTTCCTCTCAATCCATGAAGGAAAACAAGGTTTTGAAACCACATGCAAGTTCATTTACTCTCCCTGAGACAATTCAACGCTGAGGAAGGAAGATGACATAGACACGCTGCCCGAGAGTCGTTCCCATGGAGACGCTCTTCGGCTTTGTGTTCCGTGCTTCGTCGGCAATTAAACAAACACTTGGGGTGCGAGGGATCGAACGAAGAAGATGCACACGGTGCAGTGATTCTCTACATGCTCGTACGGCAACGAGGAATTCTTCGAGTAATGCTCAGTAAAGGAAGACTTACCAGTGGCATTGTTGCTTGAGATCCAGCTGCTGTGAAGGCTGAGTTATTCCTATTGGCATGGGGAAGGGAGGTCCACTTAGGTCGGCAATGAGGAACGAAGAAGATGCAGTTCGAAGTCTCAACTTGTAACACTCCAATACAAACTTCTGGTGGAAATAATGTAAGACATTGCCTTTGAAGAATATATATAACCAAAAAGTGTCAAGACTTTGATCCATCTTACCACTGTCATGGCATGAACATGGCATTATAAATGTCAAAAGTAGGAACTCCAAATGTTCACCTGCGTTTCCATTTCTGACAAACTTGACAACCAGTGGAATGCGTCAGAATCTTATGCAGGTCGAGTGCAGTTTCCAGTGGTGAAGGTATTAAATCATTGTCGAGAAATAACTCTCTCATAACAACTTCATATGAACTCTCAATGAGGTAAAATACAAAAGACCAGCAGACATGGGGGGGGAGGGGGACGTAGAATGAGCAAACAATATTTTGATGTTCATAGACAGTAACAGATATAGAACAACTTTGCTCCAAATTTACAGCCTAAAGAACTATAGCATTTCATACAGAAGCCTGCACAAGATCTTACAATTTACACCATCTTTTACTTGAAAGAACTAATCAGCAAGCCTGCACAAGATGTTACACCGAGAGAATTACTTACAGTAAAAAAAATCATCAGCTGTCAACTCCTCATGCAATACAGAGGAGATGGATTACCAAAGGATGTAGAAAATATCACCAAGATGTGATCAATTTATGGACTCGCCATCGCCAAACAGAACAGATATAGAACAACTTTGCATATGTGCCATTGCTTAGTAGCCTCACCCAAGTTGTGAAAATTCAACAGGATGCTAAATGAAATGCTGTGAACTAGAGAACCAACAAGGGCAATGGAATCACCATTGGTACTTGGCAGCGACAAGGACGTCTTCGTAGCGCTGAGCAGCATTATCCCAACTTAGGTCTTGCATCATCCCTCGCCTCTGTAATCCCTCCCAACTGTCCTTGTAATTTCTGTACGTGTTCAGACAATGACCCAGTGCCTCAATCATCTTGTTCGCCTCTGCCCTCTTAAAGGTCCATCCAAGACCTGTCTCATTGAATGGATCGAACTGTTTTACAGTATCTCTAAGGCCACCAACAGCATGCACAACGGGCACAGTCCCATACATCATTGCATAAAGTTGGTTCAGCCCACAAGGTTCAAATCTCGATGGCATCAGTAGCACATCAGCACCTGCCGTGAACCGATGAGCCATCTTCACAGAAAACCCAACCCATCCCCTGACCTTGTCATGATGCTCACTTTCAAATTTCCGAAGCATATCTTCAAGGTCTGGCCTTCCAGTGCCCAGCATGATTAACTGTAAATCCTGATCTACAAGCCATGACATGGCATCCGCTATGAGATCTACACCTTTCTGGTCATCTAATCTTCCAATAAAGGAAATGATAGGAACATTGTCACGGACAGGCAGACCAAGCTCACGTTGTAGAGCAGCCTTGCATTGGGATTTTCCCATTTGAAGAGTTTCCAAAGAGTAGTTGGTGTAACCATCAGACTGTAGGTACATATCAAACTTGGGATTCCAACTTCGGGTATCGATTCCGTTAACAATTCCTTGGAATTTCCAGTCATTGTCATTAATGATCCCATGCAGTCCCCAACCACCTTCAGGTGTTTTTAACTCCCAAGCATAACCATGGCTAACAGTAACCAAACGATCAGCAGCTTTTAAACCAGCTGCAAATATATTAAAATGTTCACCTCCAACGGGATCGTAGAGTTTGAAAAAGTCCATGTAGTGGCCTGGCAAATCCACATAGGAGAAGTCGTTTATTGGACCACGACCCTGAATGAGAAATCTGTATTAACATATTGGGAAATGTAATCTTAAAGTTGCATCAATTTTCTAAATGGAAAAAGATGGTTCCAATCCTGAACTGGAAGAAGATATTGTTACATAGATGTTAAAGAAAAGTAAACCAAGCAACTACTATAGGTCAATCAAATGACGATGTTATGCAAGTCTAATTACCTTGGTTTCATTTCTGTCACCATTTTGTTGAATCTTGAGGGACACCATAATGTCCTTAGACATAACAAACAAAATCTACATGTATTCTATTTATCTACAATTTCTAACTAATTCAATGGCAAGTAGACAACTTTCTAATGGTTGAGTGCTTAAAATTTTCAATTCTTAATAAATAACAACTAACGATTAAGTTACAGTATTCAATATTCAATCTGCAACTACAGTCTTGAATTTAAATGATTCGAGAATTCATTTGTAACCTGCAATTTTCAAGAATGTATGTGAAGAGTATCCAACATGCCATCACATTTAGCTGGAATAGTTCATGTAGAACAAAGAAGAAAATAATATAAGCAGGAACAAGAAGTCTTTTCACATTTGTGAAAAGTAAAGTTACTAACAATCGAGCATCAATTGAAGGGAAATAATTCATTAGGGTTTTGGACGACTTCAAAAAAGATCTATAAATATTCCAGAAGAGGTATGTTAGTACAGATAATTAGTACCAAAAGAAATAAAGAAAGACCAAATAAGATTCTGTTTCGAAATAAAAAAAGTTATGGCCTTCAATCAACAAATCATATCACCCTTAAAGTAGTTTAATGGTGCAAAAGAATATACTTGCCTACTCCAGAAAAAGTTCATTATTGTTGATATCATAAATATCATAATGTATTGGCCGAGGATATACTGTTTGTCTTAATAGTGTGATAAAGAAATTATCAATGATTGAGAACTCTTCTTTGCAACTGCAGAAGGTTTTCAAATTGAATTGAATTGTCTTGACCACTATGAACATTATGGGTTTAATTAATTGACCACTATGTCTGTGTTTCTTCAGTTGTTGGTGTTCCAGAATAGTTGGTCTAGTTGGCAAACAATATAGGCCATAAACTATTTTATGGATGTACATAAAAATTGGTCAAGCCCAACAGCCCAAGAATAAGAACATCATACAAGAAATAGGAACAAAAGAAATTTGTCTGATACTGAATACCATAAATGCCCAAGGATATACCTGGTGTGCTATGTTGTGTATCACCAAGACACAGCGAGCATATATCATCAGCCCATTATCACGGTAATATGCCTTCAAATAAACAGGAAGCAGGGAAGTATGCCAATCATTCGCAACAAAAACCAGATTCCCATCTCCATAGCAGGTGCCACCACATGGAACATGCCAAGGAACCTGAAACAACTTAGACGGCCTTCTTCAGACAACATTTAAGTTAAAAAGGGGCATATTGATTGTTATGCTCTTATTGTTAATGGTTGTTATCTTCTTATAAGTTTTATATATGATGAGCATAGTTTATCAATATCATACAAACTACAATGTATGAAATTTCAATAACATATGTAAAAAAAACATATATTACTTATCAAGATCATGCTGTGCCTTATCCTACTTTTACAAGATTTGTCATGTTGCCACATCTAATCATGTTGTTTCCAAGTCCCATGCATGTGACAGTGACTTCATAGCTTGCTTACATTCCAGAAATTCTTACTACCCAAATTCTAAAAGTGCCTTAGTTGATGTTGTCAACTACTCCATAAGCTTCTCCCTCAAAAAAAAAAAAAATGAAAAAAGAAGAAGAAAGAATGTTTACCATTGACACACAATTGACTAGAACTATTTCACAATTTCCAATCCATATGATCCATGAACTTTGTCAATTGAAATCATGCGCATGTCATTATCTTTCAGGATAGTTGGATATATCCAAGAAACAAATATTGGTACTTGGTTATCCATGTCTCACTAATTATAATTAGCTAACAAATAGCATGACCAACCTCAACTGCTGCCTTGCAGAACAAAATCATCCTTTTCAAAATGTCCTGCATTCCAAATATTAAAAGAAATTTTAGATGGAAAAAAGATTTTATAATATTGTTATTGCTAAAACTATAAAAACTGAGTACATGTAATATAGTGTTCAGAACAATTGAGACACTAATCATGATTAATGTGTCTTAAGAAGCAAGACAAAATATGAACAAGGCTTACCAGTCGGTTTCCACCATATATATCATTTCCAATGTGGCGAAAAACAGGGCTATCGATAAAAACAAAATCGACACGATCAATAAAGGCATGATAATACATAACCTCCATGTCCTGTAAAACAAGAAGAGGAAAGGCTAAGAAAATTATATTATATCTGCAGGATGTCTCACTCCAAGAACTCATGGAACAAATGAATACCTGCCCATCGACCTTGTACCTTTTCCTAACTCCTACTTCCTTAGGCTCAGCATAGTTGCCATATCTTGGTGCCACTACCTAAAGCAACAAATTGTATGCAAAATCAGACAATGAGACAACTCAGTGTTTCAACTTTGAACAACACCAGAAGCAGATCAAATTTGTTCTGCCTATGGAAAAGAAAATTCAGAATCATATTTTGAAACTTGTTTCACATTCACATTCTTCTAAACTGACTACTTCAAGCTATGTGCAGAGACAGGAATTCACTAATGGTATTTCACTATTTTGCATGAGTTAACATGATGAGATAGCAAGTCATAGCAGTGAGTACCATAACTCGATGGCCTCTCCTGGCCAAAGACTTAGGTAAAGCTCCAACAACATCTCCAAGCCCACCTATTAAAAATCATCAACCACAGTCAGTATAAAGAAAAAAAAAGTTCAAATAACTCAACATAATACTTAGATACCAACAGGCAGACACCTTTACAATAAAAGATTAAAAGAAATTAAGAGAACATGAAATCAAGTAGATTTTCTGCAATGATAAAGATGCAAAATTTATCAACGAGAGATGATTTCATTAAATTATAGTGGAAAATAAGTGCCTGTTTTAGACCATGGAGCACATTCTGCAGCCACCACGATGACATTCATGACATTCGGGCCAGCCAAAGGTGCAGAGTCCATAATTCCTTCCTCAGGTGGCACCTCTTGTTGCTCATTTGAACCTTGCATACCCTCTTCTGCAGAGACCTCAAGGATCTCATCATTCATAGTATAATATTCAGACTCTTCAAAAATAACTGGAGGCATATCCTGAGGCTGAGACGGCTCCAAATCGGCTTCTCTTAGCAGTCCAAGAGTTTCTGCCACAGATTGTTCAACTTCTATGCCGTCTATTGTTTCCTCCCCATAATCAAGAACATCAGCTTCAGTTGTCTGAGCATAATTGTCAGAGTAACTCCAAGGGTTGTTTGTCCTATCAAAATCTTCATCATTATCTATATCCATGTTCGAGAAAGAACTATAATTCTGATTGTAAGAAACTGTTTCCTCTTCTTTTGTAACAAAATTATCTTTTATAGATGATACAAATTTTCTCCTTTCAACAATCTGCATTAAAGTTCAGGAAGTTTAGCATTTGTATCAAATTTAGTATAAAACAGAGAGCAAAATCTATGGAGTCACTGAACATAATTGGTGATATCAACAAGGAAGTTTGGGTTGTGCTTTAGCGGAGGAAGCATAACAAATCCCCAGTCAGTCAATCGAAAAGAAACTCAATTATATAACTTATCTCAGATATGAAAGAAGAATGTAAACTATGAATGATAAGGTGTAAATAAACATAGAACTGGTTTAGTAGCATGTTAGAGAGAGTATCTTCAACTTTTAAGGCACTTATGATATCAAAATAGATGTACTTATTTTCTGATTAGTTTCTAAGCCAAACCATCCCTAAATAATAACAATGCTGTCATGGTATGTACAAAGAATATAGAAACACATGTTTGTCCAAATACAACTAGTCAAGTTGGGAGACCCCAAGAAGTAGTCTGACATAAGACAATACATCGAACCAAGAATACAGATATGTTCAGGCACGACCATATTGAATTTAGAGAAAAGATTCAAGTCAAGAAATAAGAGAAAACCTGTCGCAGCAGGTTCTTCTGTATTTCCAAGACCTTCTTGCTCTGTTTGATGGTAGCTCGAAGGGCATCATCAGTGATATCCTCATCATCTTTGTCACTGTCCTCTTGTCCCTCGGCACTGCTGCTTCTCCTAATTGCTCCTGGGGGATTTCCCTTCATTTGGTTGATTCGAACCAATCCAACTGATAGTCCATGGTAGACAGCATTCATAAACCTCACCGTGCAAGCACTTCCATTATAATCAATACAATTGAGTCGGATTTTTCTCTGGAGAAAAATAGAATCATCATGCTTTGAAGATGAAGTAAAGAAAACCAAGGCTTGAAATCAATAAGTCCATTTAATCCTAAAAGGTTAGCTACAAGCATAAGTCTCTAGTTCCTACCAAAATTATGCAGAAAGCAGACAAATAAATAAAAAGAAAAAGGGCTAATATTTTATATTTCAGAAATTAACTCATAAGACAGAATTCATCATTTGTCAGGGGAATTTGCACCCTTTTTCCTTTCATAACCTTTATAAATTCAATAAAATTAAGTTAAAAATTAAAGATAAAGAATGGAAGTTAATTTTCTGATATTTGAATATTGCACATCTTTTGAGTGAAGATGATAAGAAAAAACAAGGTGCAACTCAGCGGGCACTGGTTAAAATGATTTAATCGGTTGAGATGAATAAGCCATGAAGGTCCAAGAAAAAGCAAAAGCAAACCGTCATTGCCGCAATGATGTTAAGACTCGTTTCAGAATTTCGATTCCCTACAGATTTTAAGGCTTCAGGGATCTGCATATCGTGTTCTACGCGAGGAGAAATAATTATACGAATGATTCATTTGCACGAAATTGAAGCTAAAAAAAGAAGCATAAAATGACTTCAAAAAGAGAGAAAATAAAAAAGGAAGAAAAGTGGACCCATTTCTTGGAACACCAAAAGAGATTTCGTTGAAGATGACGACCTTAAGAAACCAAGAAAAAGAAAAGGGGGAAAGAAAAGATCGTTACCTTTCTAAAGCAACTTTTTCGAGTTGCAAGAAGGTTTTTCTACCGAAAAAGTTACAAAACAAACCGTTCTTTCTCTCTTTTTCCGAGAGCGGAACGCCTTTTCTTGGACTCCTCAGGGGCGTGCCGCCCCAAAAATCAAAGCGTAGAGAGAGAACTCACGGTGGGGAGCGGAGAAGGCGTGAGCGGGCGCGTCGCAATGTGAGAGAGGCGGCACGCCACCGCGCCGGCGCGCGATGACGCCGGTGGGACCGGCGGGGAGGAGAGGAGTTGGGAGAACATTTCGGGCCGGCCGGAAACGAGGTGAACACGGGCGTCTTTCTTCTTCTTCTTCTGTCAACCGCACACGGTGGATTGAATCGCTACACTTCCTTCTTTTTCCTTGGTGTTATTTATCGTAACAATTTTTTTTAATATATATATATATATATATATATATATATATATATATATATATCTTTAAATATTAATATATCCTAACAAATATTTCTCATTCATAAATATTTTTAAAAAATAAATAACGAAAATAAAATTCGAAATTACGATAATCTCGCAAAAATTTTATGTTTAAGGTAATAAATATATATTACTAAAATAAATCAAATAAAATTTTCAATATACACTATCACTATCAAACTAATATCTTAGGTATTTTATAAATAAAACTCATATCAATAATATTTTATATTGATTTACTCATCAAGTCTTGTCGATCTAATCAATTTCCTAAAGAACATACATAACCAACCCACTTCTTAGAACCTTAGACATAACCCACTTCCTCCACAATTATATTGAAAAAGAGAAGAAATGATGTAGATGGCATAATCTAATTTTATATTACTACTAATTAATTATATTTTAGAGTATTATTATTATTATTATTATTATTATTATTATTATTATTATTATTATACTTCTGTAGTCATTTTATTGCTCTCATTAAAAGTCTTTTAGTTAATAGTGTGTTGACTACTTGAAAATATATTTTTTTTATTAAGATATATTTGTCATTATAATGGAAGCTCAAAAGAAACAATCTTTCAGTTTTGCTTCTCTAAAACATTTTACAGATCATTCTTAATAGGTTTTGCTTAGATTGAATTTTCCTATCAATTATTGGCTTGGTCACACAAACATCAAGTAGCATCCATCCATCAAATCATTAGAAAGCTCTGTCTATCTACTATCTAACAAAAAAAAAAAAAAGTTGGTGCATGATTTTGAATTCTCTACTAAAAGTTTTTATCAAATTATTAGGCATATATTTGTTGAATCTCGTATTTTGATGATGAAACTAATTTATAGTATTTATGATTTGATCTACGTTTTAAGTGACGTAGGATACTTCGATCAGGATGAGACAATACCGCTGCATTAATTCACCCTTTCGCTTAGTGCCGACCTTTGTTCATGACACTATCAAACTATGATGAATTTATTTTGGATTCTCAATGGCTCATTAATAAAGTATACATTGTGACAAAATTAATTTACAGGTGCAGATGATGATTGATCTTCCAAGACATGGGAGTAATTTAATAGGTGCAAGGAGTAAGCATAGCAATAATGCAACTTTATTCTTCTAGTTTTGCAGCAAATTCTATGGCTCCTGTTGATGATCATTGGGCATGAATCGGGCCAGATAGGAGGAGTCTTTTAAATTAATATCATAGAATTTGTAGGCTCACTTAATTTGGATGAGTATTGTAACTTAAAAAATTATATCATCTAGAGCACTTAAAAAATATGTTCAAGGTGTTCCAAAAAACCAACTATACATCAATCTAAAAACATTTGTGTTATAACTGATAAAGTTATATTTTTAGTTATATTTTTAGGTTATGTGGTGTGTAGGTGACTTATAAATGAATGAGGAAAAGATGATAGACTATTTTTTATTTTCACACATATTTGAAGCTTTCATGCTTGACATCATTTTATCAATAGGTTATTAAAAATTTTAGTACCATTGTAGCTTTGGATGTCTTGAAGAGCACAGAGTTTATATAAACCAACAAAACTAAAAAAAATTTAAAATTATTGAAGAAAAGACTTGTGAAAGCATCAGTATTAACATTGCTCAACTTCTCCAAGACTTTTCTAGTGTGATACTTCTGGCATTGAAAAAGAGGCTATCCTAATATAAGAAGGTAAAGTGTTGCTTATTTCAATGAGAAACTAAGTGATGCTTGGTTGAAATATTTAACATATGACAAAGAATTATGTATGGTAATTCAAGTATTACGACATTGGCAAGGTTATCCTATCGAAGTAGAGTTTATTCTTTATTCAGATCATTAAGCTTTAAGGTTTCTTAAGACATAAAAAAAAAGCCTTGAGTAAGAAGTACAACTTGTTGATTACTCTTTCTTATGAGATTGTTGGATTTGATCTTATACTAAAAAATTATGTAGCTGAGCCTTTCTTCTCTAAAGTCTTACAAAAGTTAGATGAGGAAAATATTGGTGATTACACAATTATGAATGGTTATGTTTTAAAAGAAAACATATTTATTTACCAAAAGGTTCTTGACAAATATTTGTCATGAGAGAATTATATTTTTGGTAAGCTCCGAGGACATTTTGGGTGTGACAAAATAAAAGGATCAGTTAATGAGAGATACTTTTGGCCTAACACCAAAGGAGATATTGCTAGATTTGTATAAAAATATTATTTTTATTAAAAGGCAAAAGGAGAAATATAAAATATTGTTTATACCAATCATGGATATGATTACATTTTAGTGATTATTGATAGATTCTCAAATATGACTCACTTCATACCTTATAAAATTCTTTTGATGCCTCACAGGCGGTCAATTTATTTTTCAAAGTAGTGATTCATTTGTTTAGGGTCTCAAGATCTACTACTTCAGATTATGACATATACTATACGAGTTACTTTTGAAAAAAAAAAAAAACTTTGAAAATATTTGGGTACTAAATTATATTTTTTTAGTATTTATCATTCACAAACATATGTCTAAACAAAGATGATGAATCGCTCTGTTGAAAATTTATTGAGAAGATAGGTTGGTGACAATCCTAAAAGATGAGAGTTCATTCTTTCTCAAACTGAATTTGCCTACAATAGCTCTCTTAATAGATACAAAAAAAAAAAAACTTCATTTGAAGTGGTTTACCGTAGAAACTTTAATCAAGTCTTAATATGGATACAGAAGAATTTGTTGCCGCACACGTTAAGACCATTTATAATCAAATTCATGAACAATCGAAGCAAACTTCTACCTCTAAGATGTGCATGAGAGGTATAAAGAGTTGAAAGATAATCTTTATCATGGTTTATCTTTAAAAAAGAAAGATTTCCTACTAGGACATATAGTAAACTTAAGCAAAGAAAAACTTGAGCCAAATGCTTATCGCTTGGAGTAATTGGATAGGTTAGCAATCGCTCTAGTTTATGACAATGAGGATATTATTATATAGAACTAAATAAATTTATGAGCCCTATCAAAAAAGTCTTATACTTATTACTTATTATATTTTAAGGGAAAGCTTAATTTTGGAGACGCATGGATTTCAACTCAAGATTTGAAAGGAACTCACTATAAATTCTAAATTGAATTATTCTCAAATCAAGAAAATGATATAGGGGCATAATCTAATTTTAAAATATTGCTAATTAACTATATTTTAGAGTCATTATTATATATATATTTTTATTTTTTACTATCACTTTATTAAGAGATGTGTTTGTCATTATCGTAGAAACTCAGAGTCTCTTTTGAGAATCATATATTTCCAACGAAATGTAAAAAAAAAAAATAATAATTGTTTTTAGAAAAATCTATAGATCATTCTTAATAAGTTTTACTTAAATTATATCTTCATATTAAACTATTTACTTAGATAAGAGTTCTACCCAACGAATCAGCTCATCATGACTTATTGTTAATTTTTTTTACAACACGAAAAAAGATGGTAACACCCAATCAGAATCATTCTTCTATAATTAATAATTGGTATATTCTTTGTTTTTTCCTTTTATTTTTTTTTCCAAATCATCCTACAAAAATCATTGATTTGGCATAAGAACGAAGGAATACAACAGCAGAGTAATCATAGGCATTACAGGAATAAACTGCTTAAAGTTGACACCAAAAGAAACTTTTAAGAATCAGAAGCTTCAAGTCGAGGTAATGAATGATAAGCAAAACAATGAGTCTGCATATAAGAAAACAAACTTCTTCAAAGACTAAAGAATCAGCTCCCTTGATTCTGGCAGGAATCATGAACAATGAAGAATGCAGGAAATGTTCCAAGTACCAACAAGCTATTCCAGCCAATAAGCCTTCATCATCTGACAAGAGAAGGTAAACAAATGGTGACAGTAAAAGCAAAAGTTCCTAGCTCTTTCTTGCACAAAGTCTACCAGATAAGGTAGACGATCTTTTTTCTTTCTGTACCTTTAGAGACCCAAGCATATACAAAGATTCTGTTCATCACAGTAGAATCTACACAAAAATTTCTTTGTTGAGGAAGTACAAAGTTATAAGCAACACAGTTGATCAAGTAATCATGAACCAGCCTATAAAGGCTCCAAGGAAATTTGATGAAGTTAAAATTGTAGACAGATGGGACCAAGAAGTTGCAAAAATTCTTGTAATAGTAAAAGTTAACATTGATAAGTTACCCAGTACAAGTTCTGAGTTTCTAATGCATGCATAGACTCCTTGCATCTGATTAGAGGACAACAAAATTACAAAAACGCTGTATAAATGCATTAGGATAAGAATCTCCCCAACAAACCTGGAAGCCATGTAAGTCAAGCCAACAAAAGATAGTACTCAGAAGTTCATTCCTTGGGGAAGTGCCTTTGCGCATCATCTCATTCCATTACCTACATCCAACAAAACACATCACATCATACACAGACTGCCAGCTGTTCTTTGAGTGAGGATTCTGTGGTCATATTTAGAGTGAATCTGCACCATCTTTTTCTAATTCCTAATTTTTTAGGCATTTGTGTGATAGCTTCCCCTGTTTCGAACATACTCACGTGTTCTTGTACATGCAAATCTCTAGTATGCTTAGTATTAAGGCCCTCAACCAACCTAAACGATCAAAGGATTGAACAGATGACTGGTTCACACCATGTGGTTTCTAATAAACTATAATAACCATATGATATGGAAACATAACCACAATATTTTTCCTGTAATGTACTTATATTAGCCGTTTAATCCAATCTTCTCATTACTCTATTCATTGATGCAGTCCACTTCAACAATCTGTCACCAATGTTCTCGATAAAAAAAATTATTGATGACATTAGTAATACTTCCAATAATTTGATTTTACAATCTGAGAATATTAGGAGATATTGAAATGAATAAATCGAATGGGGATATGAACTTGTTGTGTCTTCACCAGTCTGCAATCATTTGCAGAAATAACACATGGTATAAACACTAAACAGACAATAAAAGTAACCTTCGATCTGTAAAATCCTGATGCTCCAGTTTTGGTGCCTTTGTTTCCTTACAAAATAATATATACATGATGAACAACTCAATATACATGTTTGATAAGAGAAACACTTTCACAGTAGCAACTATAGTTTGTCCAATCTAGAACTTAGAGCAATGGAAAACAACTTCATGAGACACAAAAGCTGCTACAAACAAATGGAAAACTAGAGCCAACATGTATGACACTTGATATCTTTTCCCTGATTTCTAAGCCCTAAAATTTATGACTTGCACTCGCACCATTCAAAACGTATTCTCCAAGTTGCACCCATACATACAAACACATTGTTTCGAATATTCTAAATGATTAAGCAACCCCCAAAATAATATAATAGGAAACCTAAGACTAAGAGAATCAATCTGGTAAAAATCATAAATGATACAACTATTATGTGTTCACGAGCATCTTTTTTTGCTCTCCAAATAAAATTTTGTATTAGTCCCAATTCAAATATTTTGATAACAATTTCAAATCTATTCAAATTTCAAACAAGAAAGTTAACAAAGCATATGATAGATGCTTACCTTTGTCAAGAATTAAAGCACCCCTGAACTGCTAAAAGAACAATGCAAGATAAGGCCCTGTATCAAGGAGGCATTGAGGATCACTTCAGGAGCACTTGTTTCAAACAAAGAGAATACTTCTGCAGATTTGCCTAATTTGAAAAAGAACCCATGATTTCCTGCTTTAAGCCCTCACAAAAATAGTAATGAGTTACTAAATCTTTACGATGAAAATTCTCGATGCAAGGCCTTTACTGTAGCATGAGAATTGGGAGTTCCAGTGTAAGACTTCCATCTCTTAGGAGTATGAAAACTTGAAGAATGCCCACTAAAACCTGATGAGTAATTTCTTTGGCTCCTTTGTGTTGCTGTCACAGGTGATGAATAATTATTCGCTCTGAATTTCTTCTTAGGAAGATCACCCGGATCATCAACAATCCAACCACCTCTTGTTTTCAACTTACTGGCTGTCATGTTCCTTCTTTCTTCATATACCAAGCTTTTCTTCTTTCGTTCTTTACCAAAATCACGAGGGACGGACTTAAATCCCCTAGACCTCCTATTCTTCTTGTCAAACGTCTGAGGTGTTAATGATTCGCCCATCTTTCTAGAAGACTGCAAAACTAACACAAATTAGAATCCTAAATAGACAAATAAAACAATTAACTTCTAAGTACATTAGAAATTTGATACACCTTAGTCCTTTTTGTGCAACCTCGTGCAAAATGTCCTTCTTCATGACAAATACAGCACACAGCTGGTGAATCAACAGCAACACTATCACCACGTGGTTTTGCACACCCCTAAGTCAACAAAGTTATAGATGGGGCCATTTCAAGTCAAACAAATGAGAAAACATTTACAGTTTAATGAAAGTGTACAATTTTCCAACTTACCAAGCCAGTATGGCCAGGCTTAGCACAATTGTAACAAAAGGATTCTCTTGGACCAGTATCTGTGAAGTTAACACAACATAGATGACCATACTTTCCGCAAACATAACATTGCATCTCCTATCAAACAAATGAGATCGACATCAGATATAACATATCTGGGATAATTTGCACCCTCAAGCCTTTCTAGCAATTAACTCAAACAACCGCATCATGGTGATCTACCAAGCATAAGTAATAAATCATATTCTGTACGAAAAAAAAATGGCTTTATTAATCCCTCTTATGGCATGTATATCGACACAAGTAGAATTCAAAAAATGATAATCAATGCATAGGGAAGGTTTTGAAGAACTGTTAACCTTCAAGTCATTAGGTGAATAATCATTTCTACATGACAACATAACATGTCCTGTCTCTCCACACCGTAGGCAAATTTCTGAACACTGAGCAACCTTTTTATTTTTGTAAGGGCAGTCTTTTGCATGGTGGCCTCTTCTTTTGCAAACAAAACAATCTTGTCCCTGTGGATTTTTCAATATCAACATAAAAGCAGAATTGAAACAATGAAGTACAGTGTTAGCAAAAATCTATGTAGAAAGAAGAGAACATCACATTTTCAAACCCAAGAAAAAGCACAAAGCAAGAAGTCATTGCAGAAAAAAAAATTATGTGATTAAGAAGAGTTAATATGCATAACTAAAAAATCTAAAGCATCTAGTTAAGATTTATAAACTAGATAGATAATGTAAAAAATAACTGAACTACCAAATATAACAAGAGCTCATCCAAACCAATATGAGAATTTACAGATTTTGTCAGCTTATCCAAACTTATATGAGATATTATCTAATAGCAGAACTACTAAACATTACAAAAGCTCATCCAAACTGAAATGAAGATTGAAAATACTATGAGAATGGAAATGCAATATTTTGTCAGCTTAAATGGTAAACAAGCATTATAGATTTCAAATAGCAGATTAGAAAATGATGCCTGTTTAACTTGGATCCCATGGGATACTTTGCCCGTGCAAAGCCTTGGATTTTGATGTTTGACTAACATAAGATTAGTACTTTCAACCTTGCAAATGCCAACTTTAATGGAGGAAAAAGAAAACTTCAAGAAATCTTTATTATTTAATCCGTTTTCAGCAATGGGCTTTGAGCATATGTCAGAGGAATAAGTCCTCTTTATGTCCTCTCCACAACCACTCCAATGCTTCTCCATTGACATCCGACACCATCCAACACCAGAGATCCCTCCCTTTCTTTTCCCTTACACCCAAATCCTCTTCCTCCTGCATTCCTCCTTTATTGCAAACCCTCATCTCGTCTTTCTCCGTGGCTCCTCTCCACTCTAGTCCACTATAAAGCATGGACACCAACAAGAGACTTATACATCGATGCAGACATGCCAACATGGTTAACTTTTAAAAGTGAGGAACAACATGGCGTGAACACAATAACTACATGTATATTTTTCATATGTTATTATCAAGATTTGCAATTTTGATCCATACGAGTGCACCGACCAATGGTCAGTACGGTATGTACCGAGGCGTACCGACTGTACGCTAGGGCATACCGATAGAACACTAAAAAAAAATCAAAAATAGCTCCAAAAATACATGAAAATAAAAAAAAAGATTAGAGTTTTTAAGTTGGAAATAAATATGAATTTAGTATAATTTTAGCAAAAAAATAATCTAAATTAGGAAAGAATAATGACACATATTTTTTTTAGACTTTGAGGAGTAACTTTGTGGTACGTTCTGAACCGTGCTTTCGTTAATATTGAATTATCTACAAAGAAATAATTTGAATTGTTAGATGTGAGTGAGAATGCGTATGAGGAAGTTGAAGAGATTGAGAGAGTGATATGAGTTGAAGAGAGAGGAGGAACAACCCTTTTCTCTGGTTCAAACGGTCAATTTGACTGTTTGAAATAGGTCGATCTCAACCCTTGATCGATAATGGTCGAAATCTGCTCGTTAACGATTGGTACAGGCCGGTAACGGTCGGATTTCAACCATTACTGCCCGATACATACCCATATCATTTGATACAGGGTCAGGTTATGGTACCACCCGGTAGAGGGCGGTCCGCATACGGATCCCTTGTCAGACCGATATGTACCGCTCGTATCGAGCGGTAAGAGTCGGTATTGCAAACCTCGGTTATTATACCTATTACTTCACACAGTTTAAATATTCTACAACCAACATATTAAATTCATAAGAAGCATAGCATTCCAATCATACGAGTAAAAACATAGACAAAACATTAAGGAGAAGTCAACAGTCCAGTTAATGCAGTGACGTCTTATATTGATAACATGAACATCCCACACATGCAATATATAAACAGACGTAAGTGTCAAAAGGGACAAGAATCTTAATATATTTTCAATTACTTGACACAAGTTGAGAGGAATCCAGTCAGTTGTGTTTGACATGGACATGACAAAGATTCAGCAAACATTTTGAAGCATCCATATACTTCATAGTTTCTCTTCCAACTCCCCCGTGTCCCCACCTCTCCTCTCCTTTCTTCTTCCTCCCATCTCCCCTCATCTCTTCTCTATCTTCCTCCTCTTTCCCCTTCAATCTACTACAAAGCACTACCTAGGATTTAATTACATTAACTTCTTTTCCATTGAGATCCACATGTGAAACAATTTAAATCCCACTAGAAAAGAACCCAATGGAGGAAAACGAAAAACAAACAAGCCAAGTAGATCCTAAATAATTACACAATTCAGAAAATTAATTTCACAGTACAAAGTTGTTGACAGAACCAAGGAAGATTAGGGACATTTAAGGCATTTTGATTTTGGGTCAAAATAAAAATCAATTAGATTCCGAGGTCATTAGAATATGTCACATGGCATCCATTTCTAGACATACAGTATAAATGCTAAACAAAATCAAAATGTTTTTCATTTACCTATTATTTTTCCTTTAAAAAAAGGACAGTTCACTACATCCTTCCAGCACGATATAGAGAGTGCCAAAATGAAATGCACTTTCTCAATGAGCGACTGTAAGCAAGAGTTCAACTGCAGGTCTAGATAAAATAGACCCTTACATGGCTGAAGAAATCAGTACGCATCAAAGAACCTCTGTTTAATCAGGTTCCACTTTTATTATTTGAAATTTTTAAACAAAAAAGTCAAAACACAATGCAATTAATCATTTATTTAACTCAGATGCACCTAAAACAGTGTGGTTCCTCACCTGTAAGCACTGCTTTCCATTATGACCAAACAACCCACAAACAAAGCAAGGTCTCTGCCGCTTCTCCATTGTACAATTTGCAGCTGTATGGCCCTCTTCCCCACAGTTGAAGCAAGCCCCGACATTGTTTTCCCAATGATAGAAATATCTTGGCCCACGCTTATCAAAAAAAAAAAAAAAAAGAAGAAGTAATATCAAAATCAGACCTTCCTCTTAGAAACTAAAGTTAAACGAAAGATAATTATATAGACTTACAAGAAGCTTTCGAAAAACTAGATTGTCCGATGTTTCATTCACCTCAGTGATCACAGACTCTGGCGGCCCCGATGGCTTCTCTTCTTCGACTATAGTATCCACCTGCAGCTAAAGCAAGAGTTCCTAATTCAAATCCCTTCCAACCACCTTTAAATATTCAAGGAAATACAAACTACAAGTAAATTCTCCTCCTAAATATTTGAATCTCGGAAAATACAATCAAAACCAAAAAAAAAATCAGAAACGAACAATCGCCTTTTACACTGAGCATAAAACTTACAACTTCCTTCTCTTCCAACTGCTTCTTCTTCTTCTTCTTCCTCCTCTTCTTCGGCTTCTTCTGCATGTTCGCCTCCTCCATGGGAGACATCAAACCTCCGGAAGAAGGGGCAGGGGTCGGATCAGAGGCAAGCTCCGCCTCGCCTGAGGATTGAGGAGAAGAGGAGGAAATCTCAATGACGTGAGCCAGCGAGACGGCAGAGACGGGACCGGGGCCGAGGGCGCCCTCGGACCACTTCCGCTTCGCCTCGCGCTGGCGCGCCTTCTTGACGATGGCGAGGCTAAGGTCCTCGTTCGCCTCCTCATCGTCGCTACTGCTGAGGAAGACAATCGATGGCGCGGCCTCGCCCTCGTCCGAGGGTTCCATTTTCCCATTGGATTTCCGTCGTTCGCGCATCCGGGACAGGGTGAGGAGGAGCCCCACGAGATCGAGGGATCTTAACCCTAACAATGATCGGAAAACTCGAATTGCTCTCTCCGACAAGAGCAGCGGAGGCGAAGAGCGGCTCAACCCTAATTACGGGTGGTTTCGGTCTTCCAATTTGATCCGAATTAGGATCCGAATCCGATTCAAGTAAAAAGGGCAAAAAATATGTCATATAGTGCTTAATAATTTAAAAGAAATCAATTTGCTTCAATTTTACGTTATAATATTAGAAATAATAACGGATAGGGTAATAATAATGAGTATATTAGATCAATCTGCATTAATTTCTATTTTATATTATGAGAAATAATAAATATTATATTTCGAGTAATTATTTCTTTATCTACATTTGATTTAAATGACTCCTCGGGAGTAGCTATTTGAAAAAAATTAATATCCCTATTTCCAACTAGAATTGAGATAAGAACAAAAATAACACTAATTAATTAAATTATTATTAGCTCATTGTGCTTTTCAAATGATAATCTTTTGTTTTCTTCTCATTTCTTCCGAAGAAAAGAAGGGCAAAAGGTTCAAGAAGTTATAGTAAAAGGGATAGCCCCGTATTAATTCATAGAATTTTGGAAAAACCTACTAGAATAGGAAAGTAAAATTACTATTTATGAAAAATGATGTGCATAGATAATTTTTCGATAGACATGTCATCCGGTAAAAAAAATGAATTAGCAGGAGATTTTATAGGTAAATTATATAGTTTCTTTTTACAAACTGCTTTATGATAATAAAAAAAATCTATATATCCAAATATTTCTATAGATTAAATGAGTTACTGGGTTTGACTTAATATGTCATCATTGGATAACGAATAAGAACAAATAAAATTCTAATAATATGATTTATCAAACCTGTATTTTCTTTTCCAAGATCGTAATAAACCGGCAACGAAGAAGTAATTGGTCGTGGTCTGCTGACTCAGCCGATCCGCTGACCGGTCTTTGACCATGCCATTTGTTTCTGCGCTGTTAAGTGCGCCGGGATTCGCTGCAATAATACGTGTAACGTAACTGCAGACACCATCATCTCCGTGTCCTAATCGGAGCCGTTTGGACTATTGTAAAGGATCCCCATGCCCTCGAACTTTGGGAACACTTCCAGTGGGGCTTTCGAGCGCAAACGGTCGCGAAATTTGAATTCTCGCCATCTTCTCCGTCCATTTCGCCCATCTCCACCGTCCGATTCAAATAAACAAGAACAACAAAAAAACGAAAGCATTTAAGTCGCACTCTCCCTCTTCCTCTTGCTTTCCATCGGCTCGATCCCATTCCCCTTTCTCTCTCCGTGCCGCTCTACTCCTCAATCCCGTCTCCAAATCGAAACCTTAGGAGCTCCCAAATCCTTGCTCTTCTTCGGAAACCGCTTCTCTTTGACTTTCCCTTCTCGATTGCGTCTTGGAGCCTTGGATTTGGCCGCTGCCGTGGCAAACTAGGGATTTTCTTCTTGATTCGGTTTTTTGCTGCGGGTTAGAATAATGCCGGCGGTCGTGGAACCTGGGAGCGTTGGCAGCAGGGTCAGGTTTCAAGAACGCGTGACTGACTCCGAGGCGGGGTCTGTGGATGGGAATGGTGATCGCGAGGCCGTCACCGGCGGCCTGCCGGTTCAGAGATTTGAGCTGCGGGAAGATCCATCTTTCTGGAAGGATCATAACGTGCAGGTACTTGAGGGTTTTTGAGTTGTAAAGATTGCGATCTTGGAAGCAGATTCGTGATAGTTTCTGATCGTTAAGGTTTCCTGAAGGAAACAGTTCAGAGAAGTTTAATTTTTGGATATTCTGCACCACTTTTCTGATATTAGATTTTTTTACAATTTTTTTAATGCTTTCTGTTCCCATTGGACTTCTTTTTGTGAAAATAGGTTAGAAAAAGTTCAAATTTTGGGATAATCCATTTTCACAGGTTTTAGGTTATTAGTGTTGAGATTGTCTATTTCTTGCTAGTGGTTGTGCTCATTTTTTGACTGAAGTAGGTCGTCATTCGAATTCGACCCCTTAGCAGCGCGGAAATATCTCTGCAAGGACACAACAGATGTGTCAGGCAGGACAGCTGCCAAACCATTACTTGGACTGGACACCCAGAGTCCCGTTTCACATTTGATCTCATTGCTGATGAGCATGTCAGCCAGGTGATAATTTTTTCTCCATTTCAGATAACACTTCTCCTTCATGACATGTTATCCTTGGTGAAGTGATGCGTCTAGTGCATAACAGGAGAACCTATTTAAAGTTGCCGGAGTGCCAATGGTAGAGAATTGTGTGGCAGGCTATAACAGCTGTATGTTTGCCTATGGCCAAGTAAGTTCTTGACATTTCTTTTTACTTTTAGTTGCTGCTTAATCGAATGCTACTCCTTTATTCTCTGTCAACTATTTCATATGCTCAGAATGCATAAAGGAGAGACTTAGTAGTCGTCTTTTCTTGGAAAAGATCGAGTGCATAGTTAGTTTCTTATTTACATAACATGAGAGTATACATATGATGTTTGTTGTATAGTTGGACTTAGAGCTTTAATACGAGATAATTTTATTTCAGACTGGTAGTGGCAAAACACACACGATGTTAGGAGACATAGAAGGTGGAACACGTAGACATAGTGTTAACTGTGGGATGACACCTCGAGTGTTTGAGTATCTCTTCTCAAGGATCCAAAAGGTAAGATTCACTTTCACCTATTTTTCAAGATATTTATTTTTAAGCAAAAAGAGCGCTTGTAACAGACTGATTTCTCATGGTTGTTTGATAGGAAAAAGAGGCCCGACGAGATGAAAAGCTAAGATTTACGTGTAAATGCTCATTTTTGGAAATATACAATGAACAAATACTTGATCTTTTGGATCCATCCTCTGTAAATTTGCAGGTAAAGGGTGATCATAGAAATTATGTTTCTTTCGTTTTCTATTGCATTCCTAAATTAACTTCTTTAGATTTTACCTAATCCTTTAGGTGAACAGAATAATCATGAGTTGGCAAGTCCTGATTATTATTTGTTTATCTATCAAAAACATCCTCAATATCTTAAATTTTATCATTTCCATATTCTAGTGTTTTGGAATGCAAGAGTTAACCTCTTGTTGCTTCATTACAGATACGAGAAGACTCAAGGAAAGGTGTGCATGTGGAGAGTCTTTCAGAATTTGAAGTTTCAAGTGCTCGAGATGTTATGCAACAACTTATTCAGGTTTGTTCAAACATGCATCAAGCTGTAGTGGATAGCTAATATGTTCGGATTGCTTGCAACTTAATTGATTTGTTTCCTCGATATATAATGTGAGAAGCCCTTTTTCTTGGATATGGTAGAAACATAGCACAAGACATCTCAAACCTGTCTGAAATGATCTACCATGGTTTTAAAATCTCTCCAATATTGTTGTCTTTTAAATTGTACTTTTCTGTGGAAGTAGTATGATTAATTGCTTGAATGTTTATAGGGGGCAGCAAATAGAAAGGTGGCTGCCACAAACATGAATCGTGCAAGCAGTCGTTCTCATAGTGTTTTTACCTGTGTCATAGAAAGCAAGGTGTGTTAGATTTGCCAAATCAATAGTGTTTTTTCCTTATTATGAATTAACAAAGTATTTTGAACTACATTGACCATGAAACATTTTTTAATAGTAAGCGAACTAATATTGTAGTTTCAAAATCTTGCAGTGGGAATCCCAGGGTGTTACTCATCACAGGTTTGCTAGGCTTAACCTTGTAGACTTGGCAGGATCAGAGAGGTACATAAACTTTGAAGTACTCCACCAAAACATGTTCATGAATATTTGGCCACTTGTTTTTGCTATCAATCTAGCTCTTAAACCCTCTTGGACACATGGACTCAGGCAGAAGAGCTCAGGTGCCGAGGGTGACAGACTGAAGGAAGCGACTAACATTAACAAGTCACTCTCAACCTTAGGGTCTGTATATTTTTCTTATTGTGTCTGGTTTAATAAATTGTATATCTAATTTGCGACTACACATCACTGGTATTTTGCCATTTGCACACTGCATGCTTATGCTTCTCAATGTGATTTGGGCCATGCAGGCTTGTTATTATGAACCTTGTCAGCACATCAAGCAAGAAATCACTACATGTACCTTACCGGGATTCTAAATTGACCTTTCTTCTTCAGGTAAATTGTTTGTGAAGGAAACTGATATGTTATAATTTGCACATTGGTGTGTCTCAACTTAGAATAGGTTTTCTTTGCATATATAAATGTTTGAAGTTTTCTCTATAAAATAAATGCTATGTGTAAAAATTCCATCTGCAATATGAAGGAAACTGCAAAGTTATCTGTTTCATCAATGAAACTTCTTCATTATTGTTTATTGTTAATGATTCCTGATCTTTCTTCTAAGGGAACAATAAGATCTTGTAGGCTGCACCATACTTTCTCATGATTCCCCACCGATTGGCTGTTTAGGGAATTCCATTATCTGATGGAAAAGACTCAAATTATCATTTTGGTTTATGGCATCACATGAATTTTCAGTGTCCATTTTATGTTTGATATAAAGCTATGTATTTTGTTATGTTCACAACAGACACTGTCTGTGCACGAAGCAAATTATGATTATTGTCATATCCATGTATTGAGCATATATTCATAAAGCAAACAAATTATCAGTTTTGAAATGTACCACAAATATAAACATGAACAATTTAGATCATAAATTAATCAGTTTTGTAGAATTTATCATAAACAATTTATCATAAAAAAATTAGATCATAAATTTATCAGCAGAAAAGATCTATGGTCCCACTGTTAGTGACTCAGCATAAGACAAATGTCATTTCTTTTTATACTAGACATTTGGTGTTTTATGTTGGCCTTGATGTCTAAATTATGTTTTGTTTCTTTCAGGACTCATTGGGAGGCAACTCCAAAACCATCATAATTGCAAATATAAGCCCATCTAATTGGTTAGTGGCCCTATATGCCACAAGTTGTTACTCTTTCTGTGTAGATAATTTTGATTGACGTGTTCTCCATTTGTGTTTGTTAACTTGGATTTTCTGTAGCTGTGGTTTAGAGACACTAAGTACACTAAAGTTTGCACAACGGGCCAAGTTCATTCGGAATAATGTAAGTGATGCAATACCTTTTATTTCTATTTTTAAAAATTGCATTACATGCTATCTTATTTGTAACAGAATAAATCACTTATCATTTCCTATTATCTCCAGGCAATTGTAAATGAGGATGCTTCTGGAGATGTTCTTAGCATGCGTCTACGGATTCAGCAACTAAAGGTAACATATAATATTCTTTTACAATGTTCATTTATGGAGTCTATACGGGTGATTGCAATTTTGTTCCAACTGATGCCGGAATGTCTGCTAACATAGAAAATAATTATGGTACATTGTCTAGTGTGCACTCACAATCCACTATGCATTTTCTTAGTTTTCTGAATTTGTGAATCTAGTTTTAGTAAGATGATGTTGTTTAATAAGGCTTGTTTGTCTTGTAAAAAGTGGGATCATAATATAATTTTGATACTGGATGTTATTTCTTGAATTCCTTTATGGGAATATAGTTTGCCTTACTTCTTAAACACATGCAGAAAGAGGTGAATCGCTTGCGAGGGTTGGTAAGTGCTGGGCCTGACAACACTGAGACTGATGGTTTGAGTGCTTGTCCTACTGGATCTCCATGTTCTTTCAAATGGGATGGAGGGCACGGATCATTTAGTCCACTGACATTTGATAAAAGGTTATCGCAGGTTGGCATCTCCTACGTTGAGCATCTCATCGAATTATGTTGTTTTTCTTTGTAATAGTTGTTGGCATGTGTTGGCAACAACGCATCTAGAATCATACATCCATCACAGTAATCTATCTGACATTTGTTTTTACTCCAGAGGAAGGAATATGAAGCTGCTCTAGTGGCAGCTTTTAGAAGGGATAAGGATAAAGAAGAAGCTCTGAAGGCAATGACTGCCGAAAAGCAGGCTACACAGCAGCTGGTGACTATAGTCTCTTATTATGATAGCTTTCTGGGTAGTTCGATATTTCCATGCGAATTTGCGTTACATACAATTGACAATGATGCCCTAAAACTTTGATTTGCCAGATCTGTATGATTTGACTGTGATGCCCTAAAACTTGTTTAAATAAAATAAATAGAACCAACTTTCAGTGAGTTCAACGTTACAGCATGTTCATCATAATGCTTTTACATAGTGACTTCTCAATAATTTTGTTAGATGACAATTTTATGTACTTTCATCTTTCTAGGCTTGCCTGTTTAAATGAATTTTAATGTTTCTGACTCTTTATTCATCTAAAACTTGCATGGTACATTTTTGCTTACTAGGTTACTCAACGAACAGAAGAAGTAAGAAGTCTTAAGATGAGACTTCGGTTCCGTGAAGAACGAATTAAGAGGTTAGAAGCAGTTGCTTCTGCAAAGCTATCAGCTGAAACACATCTTGTGCAAGAGAAGGAAGAACTTCTGAAGGAAATAGAAGCTCTCTGCAACCAGGTTGACCGTAATCCAGAAGTTACGAGATTTGCCATGGAGAACTTGCAGCTGAAAGAAGAACTCAGAAGGTCTGCTATTGCGCTGCTATTTTTTCTTGACTTTGAGAGGAAATTCTTTATACTTCATTTCATCTTTACTCATAAGTTCTTCCATAATGATGCTTTACTCTAGTTTTTTATATACTCTACAGCCAGCAACTCATCAAAATAAACTCTTATGCATATCAATAATAATTATTTTTATATATTTGACACCCAGATTGCAGTTGTTTGTTGAAGAAGGTGAAAGAGAAATGATGAATGAACAGATAACTGTTTTGCAGGATAAGGTATCCATGTTTTCTCTCAAGTTAAGCTCATCATTGTTCCTTTTATTTTTTGTGCTTATTTAACATACATGTATGGCCTGTAGTTATTGGAGGCTCTGGATTGGAAACTTATGCATGAAAAAGATTCAGATGTTGTTCAGGTTCGAAAGCTAAATTTTTAAAATTCTTGATCAGCATATAGTGGCTTATCCTTGCATAAGATGTCCCTAGACATATTGGTAGAAAACTCGGTCTTGTTTCACTGCTTTCTGATTTGGGAATTGCTGGACTTATGTTCAGCAAGTTCAGTGTGCAAGTTGGAAAATCTTGGTTATTTCTACTTATTTTAAAATTTCCATCTTTCTTCACAGCAGAACCTGTCATCATCTTGGGACTCTTTTGGAAATGAAGAAAATGAGTTCCTCCATTTGCAGGTGAGGACAGCAGCAATATTTTTATTTTTAATTCTTTTGTTCCAAAAATTTACCTATTAATTATTTTGATATGGTAAACATATCTTTTCATGACATGGCCATCTTGTGCAGGCTATTCAAAATCAGAGGGAGATAGAAGCACTTCGTAAAAACCTATCGTCATGTCTTGAAGCCAAAGAAAAGCTGGAAAGGTACTTCCAGTTAAATTCTGTACCCAAAATCTGGCACATCACATGGTTTGTTCCATTGGTGCTGCATGACATCCCCTGACTTGTCTGATATGAATAACTCTGATATATTCTTGGAAGCTATCATGTTTAGTACTGAAAACATTTTTGTTGATTGTATTTGCAGGCTGAGAAGTCCATGCTAAACTTTGTTTGAAATCTTGAGAATGTGAATGCTTATTATTCTTATTACTATATTATTATTATTGTTTTTATTATTATCCCTTAATCGTTACAATATAAAATTCAGCAATCTCATGAACATTATTGAAACATTTCACTGTTGCTTTTTCATTAAAATGGTTATAATTTTGTCAATACCATGAATTTCTTTTCTGGTGGCTAATCTGATTATTCTGCAGGCGTGTGGATGAGTTAGGCTCACAGTTAGAAGAACAAAGGAAGTCTACTCATGCTCCATACGTAGGGGTCGAACTTCCACAAGCTAATTGTGACATCACTTCAGGAACAGGCAAGCTTTCTGATGATCAGATAGAACTTAAAACGATGGTGGATGCAATTGCAGTTGCTAGTCAGAGAGAAGTTGAAGCACATGAAACAGCCATTGCATTGGCCAAGGAGAATGAGGAATTGCGTATGAAGTTTAGTGTTCTTATTGAGGACAACAATAAGCTGATTGAACTCTATGAGAATGCAATTGCGGAAGGTGGTAATAATGATGCAGGGAGCCTCAACAAATTTGAGAAGTCTCTGGTGCAAGTTGACATGTCGGCTGAATTTAATGAAAATAGACATGAAGAATTCAACCAAGAATTCCACCATTCAGGAAAGAAGGATATCGAAAGTCTTGAGCACCAACTTTATGAGATGCATGAAGAAAATGAGAAACTGATGGGCTTATACGAAAAAGCCATGAAAGAGAGGGATGATTTCAAAAGAATGTTGGCTTCTATGGAATCCAGCATATCCTTAACCAAAGAAGAGATTGTATGTCCGGAAAAGCTAGTTGAAATGGACGAAGAAACAGGCTGCCAGAAGCAAGAGACGGAGGAGTTGACGGAACATCTAGCGGAAGTGCCAGAGAAAGTGCAGCATTTGGTCAGAAATAATTTGGAGCTCGTACGAGATAAGCTTGCTGCTGTACGGACAGATCTCAGATACTTTGGGATACTCGAGAAGAACATAACCGATGTGAAAGAGCTTACAGAAAATGTTGAAGAAGTAGAGCCTGGCATTCAGTTAAAAGAACAAGAGATCGAGGAACTCAAGCGTGTTCTGTCCCAGACACAGGAAAGAAAGACAGTCTTGGACAAGAAGTTTCTGGCTCTGAAACTTGCACTTGGGAGTTTTTCTTCTGAGGCACACTATTGGGAACAGAGAGAAACCCGGGCTAGAACAAGGCTGAACGTGTGCTTTGAACATTTGGAGCAAAAGAAAGAAGAACTAAGATGTCTTCAAACTCGCAAGGATGAAACTAGCACTGCACTGTCGAAGGCTCAACATTCCGAATCTCAGTTGAGATGCAACATAGATTGTTTAAAGTCTAAGCTCCATGATTCAGAAACTCAAAGGAAGAAGACCGAACGAGTGCTGTTTGCGATTGATAATATGGATACGGTCGACGTCGTCCCGGTGCAAAAGAACTTGAGTTTTGGTAAAGCATCTGAACTGCTAAAGTGTGAGGAGGAGCGAAGCAAGCTGTCGGTGGAGATGAAAAAGTTACAGGAACAGTTGGCTGTTGTACAAAAAGAAATCGCAAGCTTCATGAAGAAAATTGATGCAATCGATACTAAGATGAAGAGCTACGAAAATGGGATAAATACTGGACTGCTCTCACTGCAGGAAGCAGAAGTTGGGTTGCAACAGGTGATGGAAGAGAAGAACATGCTTTCAGAGATGAGAGAGGCCGGAAAGGCTGAGCTGGCAAACCTGTTACTTGAGTTCCAGGAGTGTATATTTGTGCTGGACTTAAAAGAAGGTGAGATTCAGCTGTGCCAGGAAACAATGCAACAGGAATCGACAAAACTGGAGGAGATAAAATCCAAGAGAGATTTGGCCACACACAACTTGAATCAGTTCCTGGAGAACAACAGAAGTGCAATGGTGATCTCCGACGAAGGAGTTTGCTCAGGGATTGTGTCCGAAAAGCTAGAACATGAGTTAAGCTGTGTTCAGATGTATCTTGATGAAGTAATTACCACCTGTTAGAACTGATGGATTGTTTGATTAATTCAGATTCATCACAGTGATGGGTCGCTCATTCAACTGCTCAAAATTTGGTTTTGTGATTTGCACGGACCCCTATCGATCTCGCTCGTGTTTTCCTGTCTTGCATTTCTGCTCGTTGTGAAGCTGTTCTTGTTCTTAGAACCTCAAGAGCTCCACATGAAGACATCATCTCTTCTCGTGAGAACTTTTTGGCATATTGGTGTTTTGCCATCTCACATGACAGCGGTTTATACAGTCAAAGTTAAGTTTGAATTCAGTATTAAAATGTACTTATTTGATATACCGAAGTATACTGTTCCGTACGATAGCTCGTAGTATGTCGTCGACGTGCACCCTTCCTCCTTATTCTCTTTGTCCTCTTCCTCCTTTGTCTTCTCTCATTTTTCCATGTGTTCTCTCTCATCTTTTTCCACCTGTCTCCTCATCTTTCTTCCTTCTTACTCCATCAACCCTTCCTCTTCTTCTTCTTCTTCTTCTTCTTCTTCTTCTTCTTCTTTAGACATTATTAGTACATATCAACTTGTAGAAATTGTAGTGATATGTGAACTACTCTTACGTGAAAGTTGCTAAAGATTATTATTATTTTGTTGGAAACAATTGATTGGGTAAAAACGACTAATAATAATTTGGGGTTCAAATCATAGCTTGACATGCGGAAAAGCACGTACATAAAATGTTCAAACGAAGAATGAAAAATTCTGCCAATTTATTATAAGAAGAAAAAGGTTGATTTAATGGAAACCATGAAACATCATTTCAAGCCATAATTTGGAGAATTGGAGTCGAGAATTCGATGACATTTGGCCCCTTGACATGTCACACTCCGTCGCCTAAATCATTGATGAGTGCTCGTCCTCGGGGACAAGTTTTCCATCGTGCGCATTGCTCCCATGTTTGTGAGGTTGCTTTCTCCATTAAGGTGAAGGTCGTTGTCTCGAAAGAATAATGCTCTCGGTGGCATAGAAATGGTGTGCTCATGTGATGATGATATCTTAGTTGTGAATACATTAATGTGCTTTAAATGTCTTCTTTCTCGTGGATCACATTCTATTATATCAACCAAAAGCTTAGCTTCGCTAAGAGTAACTTATGGCTTCTAATAAATGAGTAATCCTTTGTATGCACAATAAATTATGGCAAAAAAAAATCGTATATATATATATATATGTGTGTGTGTATTTAATCTTCGTTAGTTAGTATTTTATAGATGATATTACAATGATAAGAATATTACAAATATTTTATTTTGATTCAAACTAAAAGCTAAATCATGTTAGGTCTCATTTAATCCAAGTTTTCGGATGGATGTCATGTGTGGGTTCAAATTCTTAAGATATGTGAGTGGAATAAAAAACAATATATATATATATATATATATATATATATATATATATATATATATATATATATATATATATATTCCAAAGGATAGGTGAAGATTAGGAAATTCGAGTCCAAAATCTTACGAGAAAATATCTAAATTAATTAATATTTTTAAAAAATATATCATTATGTAAATGAGTCTATTTTATTATCATCTTCAAAAATACAATCGTTTTTTTTTTTTTTTTTTTGTAGTTTGTGGATAGATATTAATAGAATGATCATAATATACGAAGGAATTTAAAATATATAGGTTTTAGTTTTACTAACAAAATTTAGGAGAATTATCGGTGTGCTTGGTTGGGACCCACTCAAATCGACGGTTGGAAAGAAAACTATATGAATGGTAGTGATCGTTCCATATGTAAATTTAATATACGATTAACTTATTTTAGTGATAATTTTGCATCGATTGTTGTCATTGTCGTCGTCCTTTCGGTGGTCGTCCCACTACACTTGTAATGACTATTGCCTCAACTATTACATAGTGTAGTGTACGAGAAGCAATATCTTGTTGATCTTTGCATGACATGATTCTTATCATCTAAAAGACAATCCAATTATCTATCTACGAAATAAACGAAAAGGGGTAGGTTAGGTTAGCATAAAATTTGCCTTTATCTATCTACTCAAATCCTCCTAAATTGGATTCGGTTTCATATTTATTTTTAGTTATATAATTTTACCTAATTAATATGATGTGTTACTATTTTAGTATCATATTTATATATTAAAATATTTATTTTATAGTAATATATCAGTCACTAAGATTGAAGGTTTGAAATGACATCCTATAATTTTTTTTCCAACAAGTTAGCTAGTCAAGCTAATTAAGACTTTGATTATTTGATTGACTCGAATATATATATATATATATATATATATATATATATATATATATATATATATATATATATATATATATATAATTCATATTATTTGATTATATATATATATATATATAATTCATATATTTTTTATGCTTATCAAGTATGTATATTCATATTTAACTCATACATCGATCATTTGAAACATACTTTTTAAAATACATTATGCATAGATAATTTATACTATCACTATTTTGTAGTGAATTAAATTTATACTTATGATGCTAATAAAAGATCACGTTCCTTAATGATCAAATGTGTTAAAGAGTAAGAAACTTATAATATCATGAGTATAAGATTACGAGACACGTTAATTAAGAACCCTACCTCTTCAATTATTGATTTATAATATTTTTTAAAAAAAGTTTGATAAAATTTTTCATAAAATAAACTATATTTAGCCAAAAAAAATTATCTAGATTCCATTATCAATTTTTTAACAATTCATTTTATAATCAAATGAACTAGTTGCTATAAATCAAACAATTGTACTATCATGTAAAAAAGTTTTATTTTGCTATTCTAGCTGAGCAATCGATCTTAAATTATCATAAAATTTTATAGAAAACTAAAAGATATATAGAACTAAATACACACCAAACTTTAACTCAAAACATAATTATTTGAAGGCTAAACTATCCTCCTAATTCACTACCAAGATCTATTTTATTAAAATTGGGTTAGGATTCTCTGAATTTATAAACCTTGGTATTCACTCAATTCTAAATTTTATAAAACCCTAAGAGAATTTTTAAAATATGTAAAAGAGACAATGTCTAATCATGGTCAATTTAGTTTGAATATAACTCCTTCTTAGAAAATAAGAAATTTTGAGTACCTCAATAATAAGTCTAAGCACTAATCTCGAATAAAGTCATATTAGAAGTTTTAGAATGATAAGAGATTCATACAAAATATATCCGAAAATCAAAGATAAATTCAAATTATATATTATGTTGGATTTAATCCCATTGGGTCTCATTTCGAATTTTTTTTCTTTTACTAATATAATTCTAATGTTATAGTATCTTCAATCAAGTTTAATTTAACTTAATAAAGATGATACTTTTGGTCTAAACTTATCTTTCTATCTCACTGATGTATCTCAACATTTAGTATTTTTTTTATTTGTATCTTCATTTAATTTTTTATTACTTTATCTATGCTTAAGTAGCTTGTTATCCTCGTATACATAATATTTAAAACTCATACTTCTTTATGTTTATCATGATTAAACTTATTCAAGTATCGAGATTCACTTAAGGTCATTTAAAATTTAATCATCAGTTTTAGTCACTATATATATATATATTTATTAGTATTATACTTAACATAAACATTAATGCTTATATATTTTCAATCAATATTCCATAGAATATTGAGGATGATATTCTTGAAAAACACGTTTCTCAATTTTAAAAATAAAAAATGAACATATTATTTATTATATTTATGAAGCATAAATATCATTAATTATGTCACTAAGTGAGAATAACATATATATATATATATATATATATATATTATTTATAATTCTGTTAATATACTTGTCCTAATTCATTCATAAATTGAAGTGTGTGAGACTAATGAATAATATGTTATGGCAAAGAGTTCAAACTCTCGATATGAGGTAAAACGAATTCGGATGCATACCACCAGACTGGTTGATAGGGTGACTCAGAAAAACGAATCCTTTGTTGGTGTTTATCGAGTGTTTTGCTGTGTACTGATGATATTGATCCGAGCTTCTTGTTTTTTTGCATGCATAATGGATTCCTTTGTTCATGTTTGTGTTTGTCTTGACTGCTCTTGCAGATTCGCCTCCCACCATATTCGTTCGTGCGCTCGGGAAGAACAAGAACCGGAACAAGGAAAACAAGGTTGAGGTCTGATGGTGTCGGGATTTATGGATGAAGAGAAAGTAAAGGCTGACGACGACATGCAATCTTCAGCTCCAAAATCTCAATTTTTTTTTCCTTTTATTCTGCATTTTTTTACTTTTGTTTTTTTCCTCTTTGGCCATATTCATTTATTAACATAATATAATATTGATAAGGGACCTTTTAGTTACGAGGACGAGAAATTATCTGTTTTGTACGATGAGCGTACTCATACTTTTTAAAGATAAGAGAGACCTGACAAACTTATGAGTCTTTGGTTCACATACTCCTCAATCAATGTGAGACTACATGACCTTATCAAATATAATGTATCTCCACTAGCGAACAAAGTAGTGTCTTTCGAAAGAAACATGAATCACATGCTTTAACGACGGAGAGATTCTTTTACTCTCTTTCAGCATCTATTTTTTGTTGAGCTAAAACATTTCCAAAAGCCACGAGCAGAAAAAATGGACTAATATGATTTCCATGACGAAGGAAACGAAAGTGGAACAAAATGGATAGCTCATTTTGATGGTAATGATGCTAGCAAAATTCTTGAATGAAAATTCACTTCTTTCCACAAGAAGTGTGGCAGTATCAGTGGCGGCATTTCATTTCATTAAGTTGATATCCGACGTCCCCCGCATCGTGCAGCATTGTGAAGGTTTGGATGAGAGGTGTCGTCCGTCGAAAGGGATGAGACAGAGAGTTGGGTGGAAATAAGCTGGCCGTCCACTGCTCTTCCTCACCCCACACACTCCTTGTCATTTTGCTAGCTCTCGATATCTGCTTCTAACTCCTCCTGCCCGTATCCTACCCCACCTTCTCTCCTTTCACTGAGAAGGGTGTCTTTTAGCTCGACTGATTTCACTTCTCATGTGTTCTTTCTTTGTCTTCCTCGCATCGTTTTGTAGCTTTCCATGAAGCATGTGAACTGTTCTTTGCTGCATGCATTCTCACACCTTTGAGATGATGCTTGTTTGGGTAAGATTTTTCGGTCGCCATGCTCTCGGTATTCAGCTTATACATGAAATGGAATTACTGTAATACATGCTTCATAAAGAGTCTTCTCTCAAGAGAAAAAGGAAGAAGAAACCTTCTTTCGTCTCTTTTCTAGGTTTCAAGTCAATTCCAAGGAAAACATAGATTTACAAGGAGATGAAGTACTCGAGTCTTCAAGCAACTCTGGTCAGAAATGGAAATCAACATCTTCGTCACTTGGTTTTGGTTCTGATAACCAATCCATATCGTGACAATTTTCTTTCTTTTTTGTTTCCTGTGTCTATTCTGTAAATGCTTGTGATAGCTCTATCCACCTCCTTATTGCCTATATGTTTCCATGCAGTCATTTCGATTTCTCAACACGGCATAATTCAGGAGTCCGAAGATGGATTCAGCAGAACCTGGAATTGCCATGGCCAAGTCGGACAAGCTGGAGATGGGAGCAACAAGAGGACCTACTATGAGCTCTACTGAAGTTGTGCCAACCAGTGCTGTTAATGGCAGTCCGAGCTTGTCAAGAAAGTTGAGCTTTGGAAAGAAGTTGATGGGGTCTTTCAAAGGAGGGCACCACCTCAGAAAGACATGGAGTGGACACATGAAGATGGATTCTGAAGATGTTGGCAGTGAGGCAAGTCTGAGCCGCGCCTCCAGTGCAAGCTTGAGCTTCTCCTACTCCTTTACCGGCTTCACCGCGCTCCCTGAAGTTTCTGATACCGCGGCTTTCGGCAACAATGAGAATGGTAACGCTGTATAATCAGAACAACATGATCATTCAAAGATAATATACAGTGGTGTGTGCATAGTTTCTGAATCTTGTAGAAACCAAGACATATATTTAAAGCATGTAAAACTATGATTGTAGTTGAAGCAAATTCCCGTTAAATGATATAATCGAACGCAAAAACATTGCAGTCATAAGTAGATGCCAATCCGGGGACAGATCATTTGTTATGAAAATATTGTAACAAGTACAAAGTGGCCTGATGTGTCTAACTCTGCATGTTGTTCATTTACTACCCTGCAGAAATTGATCTGGAGATTCAAGAAACAAGGAAAAGTCTGATGTCAGAGCCAACTTTGCCGATATATTTGAAGGTATCATTGTGCTGGAGTTGCCCTCTAATACTTGCTGAATCTTTGTAAAGGAACATAAACACAAGGCTATTCTTCAAATATCTTTCTCAGAGGCACTGAGTCGTAAATCTGAATTCTAAACTAATATACAGAGGGCTGATCTATAGCAACCACATCATAGAGCATCCTGATTGACATCTCCTTTTGTCAAATTTGCAGTTTACAGAGGTTAGATACAGTGTAGTACTCAAAGGAATAACAACTACTACAGAGAAGGAAATTCTCCATGGAATTACAGGTTCAGTGAGACCTGGAGAACTTTTAGCCCTGATGGGGCCTTCTGGCAGTGGCAAAACCACACTTCTTAGCCTTCTCGGTGGAAGAATTACGGCTAATATCATTCAAGGATCTGTCACATATAATGATGAACCATATACCAAATCTCTAAAGGGCAGGTAAATGATCAAGTTCAAATTGTATTCTGTTTAGCAATTCCAATCTCATAGATATATAACAACACATACATAGGAAAGGACCTGCGTCAGCAGTATCAGAGGCTAAATGTATAGGAATCTGTTTCCAGAGTCCAGCCAACTAGAAGTTAAGCTTTGGCACAAGCTGACTTGATAGTGAAGATAGAACTGTGCATGGCAGCAGCAAATTCATGTGTTCATTTCTTAGTGTAGAACAAGATGTCATCACTCTTGTAATAGATTATCAACTACTCTCATTTCTTAGTGTAGAACAAGATGTCATCACTCTTGTAATAGAATCATGTGCACTTACAGTTTGGTAAATTGCTATAAGTCTGATGTCAATTTTCAGGATGGGATTCGTGGCACAGGATGATGTTCTATTTGCACATCTCACTGTGAGAGAAACATTAACATATGCAGCTCTCCTTCGACTCCCAAGGACAATGACTAGAGAACAGAAGGAAGACAGGGCCATGGATGCCATCTACGAGCTGGGGCTTGAAAGGTAGCTTTTTGGTTATTTGAGTTCTTCATTCTAACTCAAAGTTGCCTAATATGAGCAAAGATCTCTATAGTGGACTTGCTCTTCAACTTCCAATCTTATAAGGAAACTTGCCTGAATTTTCGAAGATCTAATCGATCTTGTTCTCAAATTTGATAACATTCTGCAGGTGCCAAAATACTATCATTGGAGGACCTTTTGTAAGAGGAGTTTCAGGTGGTGAGAGGAAAAGGGTGTGCATTGGAAATGAGATCATAATCAACCCATCTTTACTGTTTCTTGATGAGCCCACATCTGGCCTTGATTCAACAACAGCCCTAAGAATAATACAAGTTTTGCATGGTATAGCTAAGGTATCAATCATCATGATGTTGATTTTATACTGGTAACCTTTACTGTATTACTCAAATCATGTAGCTCAGATAAAATTTTAGTTAAGAGAGAGAGAGAGAGTGTGTGTGTGTGTGTGTATATATTCATGTATATGATAAATTGTGGTGACTACAAGTCTCTCTTGAACCTATGCAGTTGGGGAAAACTGTGGTGACTACAATTCATCAACCATCTAGCAGACTCTTCCATAGATTTGATAAACTGATACTTCTTGGAAAGGGCAGTTTGCTGTACTTTGGGAAAGCATCGAAAGCTATAAAATACTTCTCATCTATTGGATGTTCTCCTCTCATTGCTATGAATCCAGCAGAATTCCTGCTTGATCTTGCAAGTGGCAACATAAATGATGTCACGGTACCATCAGTATTGGAGTCTAAAGTTCAGTCAAAAGAATCGGAAAGCAATACAAGAAATGGCAAACCATCTCCAGAAGATGTGCATGAGGTAAAAACTTCTTCTTTTACCCTAAAATGTATTCAGTTCCAAGAACCATTACCACTCTGTATTAGTAATTGGAGAAAACAAGCTTTTTGCTGACATCCAAATTCATACTCTTTTTCATAATTATGCTGAAGATTCTAACGATTAGTGATCCAACCATACAAAATTCTGGTACATTGTCCAGCATTGGAAGTAAAAAAACCTCAGGAAGAAAAAGTAAAGAAAGATTAGCTGATGGAGGCAGTATGATTTTGCCTTTTCTAATTAGTCTTTTGGCGAATTAAACCCTACAAATTACTGACTGCTGCAACAAATAATGAAATAGTACCTGGTGGAGGCCTATGAGGATCGAGTTGCTGACAAGCAAATGAGAAAGATTTTGATGCCGCTTCCTATTAGTGAAGATCTGAAAGCCACGCTGTCATCACAAAAAAGAGATTGGGGAGCAAGCTGGTGGCAACAATACTCCATTCTGTTCTGGAGAGGACTAAACGAAAGAAGACATGATTATCTGAGTTGGATGAGAATTACACAAGTTCTTGCAATTGCAGTGATCCTTGGTCTGCTCTGGTGGAAATCAAGTAGTACCACAACAAGAGGTCTTGAAGATCAGGTAAGAAAGGTTTCGTCAAGTGTTTGTATCCTATAGATAGAACCTTCATGTATGTTATGTCACACATATAGGAATGCAGATATCACTGAACACTACTACATGTTCATCTGTGATTTGGGTAATGGAGCTACAGCTTTTGCCACCAATTTTCCAATCGATATTTGATTTTTTATCTGCCTTTTTGAGCTTTCATAGATCAATTGCTATCTTAATGAGACCCAATTTTCTTTGATCTGTATACATACAATAATCACTGTTTCTTTGATTTGACTAACAGAACCAAGACTTCTACCACCAGTCTTCCAATCACTGTTTCTTTGATTGTTATCTTATTGACTCCCAACTTTCTTATATCTTTGAAACTACAACTGATATTCCTAATTTATGTTGAGTTATATGAGTAGGACTGCACATAGCAGCGTATAGATGCATATGTGATTTGGCTAACAGAATCACAAAATTTACCATTAATCTTCCAGTTGAAATCTCAATACAAACTGTGATTTAACAGTTTGTAGATGTTTCTGATTTGTTGAGCTTTCACAGATTTGATTACCATCTTAATGACTCCTCAAGTTTCTTGGAACTATAAAAGTAGTGCAAATCTTCTAATCCTAAAATTTCTTGCACAGGAGGAAATCTCTATTTTAATAATTTTGTCTCTTAGATTCACTTAATTATGCTCCAAGTAGATACATGGATCATTATTCATGTATGTCTGAAAAAAAATGTTGAGAAAAATTCATTATAACATTATCATCAAAAAAACTTTAAGCGAACAATAAAATCATTTGCATCAAAATAGAGCAAGCAGCACATTAGTACCACAGTTCCTTGGTCAAAGCCTCCGATGCTGAGATTAAATGAGTATTTAATTACTACAAGTAAACTAGTAACAACCAATTGAGAGTTACATACAACATGGAAACTCTAAACTTTATGTAAGTTTGCTATATATTTTTAAGTGAAAATAACAGTTTACCATCTGAAATGGAATACTGCAGGCTGGATTGCTGTTCTTTATTTCAGTTTTCTGGGGCTTCTTCCCTGTTTTCACAGCAATCTTCACATTTCCACAAGAAAGAGCTATGTTGACCAAGGAAAGAGCAGTAGACATGTACAAGCTAAGTGCATATTTCATGGCCAGGACAACAAGTGATTTGCCACTAGACCTCATCCTGCCAATAATATTTCTGTTGATTGTCTACTTCATGGCAGGATTAAGACGAAGCATCGAGCATTTCTTTCTCACTATGCTTGTTGTGTTTCTCAGTATCATTGCTGCTCAGGTATGTGCAAGGATAAGAATTTGCATACCACTTGACACAGCATATCTGCATTCTTTTGCTTAAATAAACAGCATATGTGCAGGGTCTAGGGTTGGTAATTGGTGCTTCACTGATGGACATCAAGAAGGCAACCACTCTAGGTTCAGTGACAGTGATGACATTTATGTTGGCTGGTGGATTCTTTGTGCGGGTAAGCACCATAGTTCAATTTTTATCGAGTGAAAGGTTTCCTTCTTTAGTACATATTAGAAAACATCCTTTCTGTCATCATCACAGTGAGATCAACTGGTATTAAGTATGTAATTTAACAAATTCTTAAAGGATGAAAAGTAAGATCAATAGGTGATATAATCAGGTATACCTAATTATAATTAGTGATGAAGAGTTTTCTTCTTTGATACACATTAGGAAACATCCTTTCTCTTATCATTGCATAGTAATATCAATTGGTATAAAGCTATGTAAATTGACAAATACTAAAAGCAAGTTTCTTTCGAGCATTTGAAATATTAATCAGAACAGTGAGATTGTAGGTATTAGGCTATGCAACTGCAGAAATGCTCAAAGCAAGGTTCTTTCAGACATTGGAAAAATCAATCAGAATAAGCAAGACTTGTACAGAAATTGAAATACAATATCTCACCAACAATTAATTTGCTTGTTGCATACTATAATCTCAAGCTAACAGGCTAGAAAATAATTGCATTTCACTGGAAATTTTATAGAGCTAAGAACCCCGAGCATAATATATAAAACTATAAGCTGATTCCAATTAAAATTTACTGAATACAATGTAAAATAACAGAGTATCGGATACATAAATTTTATCAGTGTGGTTGCTCACTTACGACCTAAGAGATTAGTCTCTAAATATGGAGGAAAGACTATATATGTCGACCCTTCCAAACCCCTGCATTGGCAGGAGTCTCGTGTAGTGGATTCGTTCTCCTAGTGTGAATGTATGATACAGTAGATGTTCATGTTTCTATAACACGACTAATCCATTGAAACTAGTAGAAATAGACTTTTTTCTTTTTCTAGCCTCCTTCAAGCAAACAAATTTGTCATTTTTGTTCACCACACCAAGAGGAGCAAATTCTTGAATTGTAGCAATAGATTGTTTGCTAATCTACTTGATACTTAGTGACCTAGTTACAAAAAGCTGGGATTAAAAGATTTTGATTCCAAAAGAACAATCCAGAGAATTAACAGTAAAATACAATCTTAGAAAATTAATTGATGTAAGATTTACATGGCGAGACACTTCATGCCTAGATCCATGGTGATAAAAACCAAAATTGTTCATTATGTGAGTACAATAAAATACAAAGATTAAAACTTTCTCTTATGCTAAATCTAAGCCAAGCTCAAAATCCGTGTACTCTCTCAAAAAATAATGTGAGGAAAATAAAATACAAAGACCAAAACTTTCTCTTGAGTTAAATCAAACTCAAATCCAGAACCCCTACTTGTGCACCCTCTCAGAAAATCCTAGGTGCATAAAATATGTTTTTCAATCGCACCTCCTCCACTAAGATCTTAAGATATATATGATATTTATAAAACAATCAAATCTTAATGTGCAATATTTTTTTCGTACTTTAAGTTCCTTTTTTTGTCAAGTAACATGGTTCACTGAGGATTTAGGTTTAGGAATCAAAATACTTATCAATCATAAAAAAAAACAAGTAAATCAAGTTTGTTTTTGCATATGTTGTCCATGTCATTGATGCACAGCCAGGTATACTGGACAGAATGTCTAATATGTTGCTCCTGTCAATGTTGCAGAGAGTTCCTGTCTTCATTTCATGGCTGCGCTATGTATCTTTCAACTACCACACTTACAGGCTCCTACTCAAGGTGCAGTATGACCATGTACCATCCTCTCTAAATGTCACCCACCTCGACAATGGTGTTAAGGAGATCACAGCTCTGACAGTCATGGTGCTTACCTACCGAATCATGGCATATGTTTTCCTAAGAAGAATGAAGCTGCCAAATTGATCTCAAGCGAAATCTCGACCACTAATCAAGGCAAACTAGAGAAGGTTAGATACTACCTGCCAAGCTGCATGAGAAAGATGTATGTGGAGCCTGTTACTATGTCCATCTCTGATAGTTTGTAGTCATCATGCTGCAAGAAAGGATATGAAAATCTTGCAAAGATGGAAATATTAAGCTACGTGCAGTGGATAATTAGAAGTCAATCTAGCAACAATCTATCGTGTTGTAGCTTAAAGAATCAGAAAACATATCAATTTATATTAATCCTTTTGCAGAAATAATAATAATAAATTATTATTATTATTATTATTATTTAATCCTTTTCAGTTAACTACCTATGACGCGAGTCACGCACGGGTCCGAGTCGCCAAGGGAGGAGAGTCGGACTCGGTCGCCTCACCCTGACGTTTCGGCAGGCGAGTCCGGCTCAGTGACTCGGTCAACTAGTTCGCCTGGCGAGATCCGCACTGATCCCCTGTCTTCTTCCCTTTCGCTAATTGTGGCGTTTCAATTTCTATTTCTCTGTGATTGAATGAAAGAAGAGAAGGGAAACGTTACTTCTGGTTGCCGGAGCCGCGAGGTCGCTACCGCCTCGCCGACCGGACTCTGGCGCCGGAGAGAAATGATGGCCTCCGTTCTCCTCTGATGCTTCTCTTCGCGCGCACCCTCCCGGAGAGCCTGCACAGCTTTGGTTGTCAGAGAAGTGGAGAGGGGAAGCTAAAATATATGACGTCTTACCGTCGTCATTATAGCGTTTGGTTGCTGCCGTCAGACCGCCAATGGCGATCCGAGGGAGAACGGCCCAACCTCCCCGTTCGACGAAGGCAGCGGCGGATGTTTCATCCCACGTAGTCCGCCGGGTCCAACTGGAGCCAGAGAATAGGAGAGCGCGGTTCGCGGAGTCCGCTAGGGAGACGTCGGCGTAGTGCGAGGCGATCTGCTGCTTCGGCGACGACTGCAGATTGGCCCTTGCACAACTTGGTCGGTGGTCGAATTGAAGCGTAAATCGATGGAACTTCCTGTTTCGACGACGACTGCAGAGTCTCGACGGCCACTGGACAGTATTCATAGATGCACAACTGGCGTTTGTGGAATTGCAACAAGAAATAAACATGAACAGTGAGCTCGATGCGTGAACCGGCAGAAAGAAGAACAGAGAGAGTTTAGTCCCACATCGTTGACGGAGGAGGGAAAGCGAGTGAGCCCCTCCATAAGAGTAGGGGATGGTGAAATGAGTAAGGCATCTTTGCGCTTGGGGCAATGTCGCAGCTAGTGAGGTTATAACCGAGGCGCGACAATTGCTGGTTGAAAACTATTTCCAAACCCCCTCTTTGGCCGGGGTTTATCCCTGCGCCATCGAGAATTTCTGGAAGGGCTCCCTCTAACCCAGGGTAAAGCCCTACAATTCAAAGTCGAACTTCTCTTTTGGCATAGCCTTAAGCTTGTACGTGTAGCAATTTTTGATGATCACAATGAATGTTTATTACATTCAAACGTAATCATGTGTTTATTACATTCAAACGTAATCATGATGTAAAATGGATAATTTAAGTTTGCTATAACAGCCATTTGCTATAACAATTTAAGTTCTCTTTGATCCCTGGAAGAAGACCTGAGAGAAGATGAATAAAAAAGGGGACTTGGATGAGCAATACATGGAAACATGTCCTTGGTGTTCCAGTCTTGCCAAGTTCAAGTCAGCAAGTCCTTTGTGAAACAAAGAGAATAATAGCATGTCGATCGGTGCCTTGTAGTTATGTCAATGGTACGTAACCCAGTCAGATGACCTGCAGTATAGTGGGAACTCCTGCATGGACAAAGAGACTAGCTCCTTTTTCATCAGATAATGGCCTTATCATTCAGATCATGAGTCCAAATCCATGACACGCAGGCCTTTTTACAATGCAAAATTAATCTGACGGCAAAGACAATGAATAATATACATCACCAAAATAAAGTCCAATAGACCAATGTCTCCTTGGGAAACAATGGAATGAGCACCATGAAACAGCATCATACTCACCAAGCAGCAAACACACTGCTACTCGTAAATTGGCACAAAGGGGATACATAGGATAGGAGGCCCAACCCTTTTTATCCCTGCGCTGGTTCTTCCAGAGAAGCAATTACAGGGTCGGAAGGGTTAAGAACAGGGTTATCTTCCCCGACTCTGTTATCAAGGACTGGTTCCACTTCTGTGCTAGCTTCAGGGGCAACTTCAATCAGTTTGTTATCACTCGCTTCCACTTTAGCTTTCTCAAGTTTGGCCTTCATGTTTGACACTTTCCGTTTTGTGGCAGCTGATTTCACGTCAGGTGTTGAAGTTTTCGATTCCTGCGACGGAAGCTTTGAGAGTGATTTCTTTGTAGGGTTCTTTGAAGTTGAGCTCCCTTTAATGGATGTCACAGCTTCATTTGGCTTGCTAGAGGAGGGAGCAGGGCGTGGGCTCTCACATGAGATGCTACCTTCTGAAGGATTATCTGTTACGGCGGAAGGTACCTTGCGTCGACCAAGCTTTGGCGACTTAGCACGTGTTGGTGGTATCTGCTACAAGATCATCAGATCGGTTGTACAGTTTCTTTTCTAGTGAAGGTAAACTTTATTTAAACATGGTTATCATCATAATGATGTGGAAAAACAGAATACCAAGGGAAAAGAAATTGTATAAATATCATAAAAGAAAAGGAATTTCCATCATATTCTGCATTTGCTACTGATCTACTGAAGTTGCACAAAAGGATCAGTTACATCAAATGACTAATAAATATATTGAAATAGTACCCACTGGATTACGTTCAAAATTCCAACCACCCAATCAAATTGAATGTCATGAAAATTTATAAATACTTTAGGCTAAATCTTCGAATTGGAGATACAAAACAAAGAAAATACGACAGTACCTTCGTGTCCATGGCAAATTAGCCTAGTGACTCAGAGTATGAAGCAGTGAGACATTAAAGAGTGCAACAATTTTCAAAGGAAGTGTCAATCCTGAAATGTGCCACAGATTATCTTTTGTTTAATAAGTATTTAATTACATATAAACATGACAGTTAATTTAGATTGAGTTGCAGTGAAAAGATTCTTGAGTAAACCAATTTTTTTGAAAAAGACGTCTGACCTCTAGAACTGCATGTGCCTGTTTTTAGACCACCTCAATCAGATGAGTCAGACAATTTGTGACCATCACATTAGCCACTCTAGTGCAAGAAGTGAAGGAGAAAAAAAAATACTTCCTGTAGTCCAAATTTATGTTCCTCATCACAAATTCTGTAGTGAGTAATACAACATGGTTGGGATGTTTGGCATAGTAATTTCTACTTGACAATCAATGTTCATATCCCGACATAGTAGGATTAGAAATTTGTCAGCAGTGATTTGGTGAGTGCCTAACAAATTCAGCTGACCATGCCAAAAAAAATTTGTCTGCGTATGTAGTAAGAATTACTAACTTTGTATGCATTAACTAGTGTAATAACTAATAAACATTAAACATATATTTTAGCCCAAGCTTAACAGTTCGCCAGTAAAACCAAAAGTAACATAAATCCTAACAAATAAATATTGAATTGCAACTTGCAAGAAATATGTGAAATACTGAAATTGTTCTTTATGTAATTCCATCTCCTTGAGCTACATTTCAAAGCTTCTCAGAATAAGTTAGCACAGCTTCTATGGTTATCAGTGATATTGTCAAGGAACTTCATATCTCAATTTACTTAACTAAACCATCAAATAGAATCAAAAGCCAAAGTGTGAGATAAAGCATCTCAGCTATGTGACATGCCTAGCTATGTGCATAATGCTCAGTATCTCATCTACAATTTACTGCTATAATGCTCTCTGTACTTTCTCAATATGCCAATAATGTGGTATGATGCTACAATGCCTACATATTATCTGACTTTCAAGTGAGCTTTAGTCATTGATAACTTTAACTAAGTTAAAACTGCAAATTTGTTTCTTAGGGAAATAAAGATATTCATCTCAGTTCAATATTCAAATGGTATAAGATCCTCATGAGTATTTCTTCAACAAATGTATCAACAGTTACAAGATGCTTGTACAAAAATACTTTTTTCAAATGAATGACGTGCCTTCTTGAGTTTTGGGTGCATTGCCTTTTTTGAGGTTTTGAGTACATTTCCATGAATAAGCTGTAGGGAAGCAAATACTTACAGAAGAAAACTGATATACTGGAACTCAAAATTTACCCCAACCTTAAATAACAAGGGTGCAATGCCTTTTTCTTTTTTTAGAAGAAAAAGAGAAGCTAGTAGCGGGAGGGAGACACTGCTTGAAATTTCAATTACTTAAGCAAAAATAAGAATGCCACTTAAATTCTGAAGCTAGTATATATCTCCATGAACTCCTAAATGACTGAGTCATCGAGGGTTGAGTAGTTAAATTAGCCTAGTTCTTGTTGTAGATTTTTGCACAAGTATCCATAAAAGATTATGACATTCCTACTTTCACAAGATCATGAAACTATGGTTGCACTTCAGACATAAATAGTAGATAGAACAACTGCTACCTTCTTCAGTTCAACTTTTGGAGGACCAGGTTCTTGATAAAAGCTTGGCATTGGTGTTGCCTTAAAGGTCAAGCTCTTCCTCAGCTTTCGGATCTCAGCCTCTTGACTTTCCTGTATTATATAACTTGATACAGAACTTAGCTCAACGGAGAAAGATCTGCAGAAATAATTTCTTGGAAGAAAGAAAATTTTGAATTTCATAAAGATGTTACCTTAGATTTTACTTGCAAATTAGTTTTTTCTACTTCCTTTGCATGATTCTTCTCCTCAAGCTTCATAAAAAACTGAGAAAATATTGTATATATTTTCCAAGTTAGGAAAAGATGAAGGGAGATTTTAGGAGAAGACAGAAGACAAATTATTAACTAACCTCCTTACGTTTCTCAGCACGCTCATCCAAGCTGAAATTAAAACCAGAGATACTGCTTCTTGCACCTGGAGTGGAACCACTGACATGCCACGAACATACAACACATAATGAGAAAGTCAAAGCTGCACAACATAGTGGAATGGGATTCATAATCATTTTTAACCCGAAACACAAGGCTTGGGGTCATGTAACTATTTACCACTTGACATATTATGATATGACAATGTACCAGTTCTTGCAGCCCAAATGAAAACTGCTCAACAGGGAAAACAGTCTGATTGTGCAAGAAACAACCCATCATAAGATGGCCCAATGGTATAATATGCAACAAAATGGAAACAATATGTCATCATTGTCTGGTATTTAT